ATCTCGTAGTCACGGCCGTGGGATGTCTCCGGAGCTCCGGAATTCCTGGGAATTCTCTGGAATTCTCAGAGCCTCATCTCGCAGTCGTGGCCGTGGGATGTCTCTGGAGCTCCAGAATTCCGGGAATTCCCGGGAATTCTCTGGAATTCTCAGAGCCTCATCTCATAGTGGTGGCTGTGGGATGTCTCCGGAGCTCCGGAATTCCGGGATTTCCCGGGATTTTCTCTGGAATTCTCACAATCTCATCTTGTAGTCGCGGCCGTGGGATGTCTCTGGAGCTCCGGAATTCCGGGATTTCCCGGGATTTCTCTGGAATTCTCACAGTCTCATCTCGCAGTCACGGCCGTGGGATGTCTCCGGAGCTCCGGAATTCCCGGGAATTCTCTGGAATTCTCACAGTCTCATCTCGTAGTCGCGGCCGTGGGATGTCTCTGGAGCTCCGGAATTCCGGAATTCCCAGGAATTCTCTGGAATTCTCAGAGCCTCATCTCGCAGTTGCGGCCGTGGGATGTCTCCGGAGCTCCGGAGCTCCAGAATTCCAGGAATTCTCTGGAATTCTCAGAGCCTCATCTCGTAGTCGCGGCCGTGGGATGTCTCTGGAGCTCCGGAATTCCGGGATTTCCCGGGATTTCTCTGGAATTCTCACAGTCTCATCTCGTAGTCGCGGCCGTGGGATGTCTCCGGAGCTCCGGAATTCCGGGAATTCCCGGGATTTCTCTGGAATTCTCAGAGTCTCATCTCGTAGTCGCGGCCGTGGCTCAGGTGCCGCAGCCAGCGCTGCGCCGCCGCCCCCGAGAGCCGCAGGAGCCGGACCCGGAGCCCGGAGCACGAGAGGCCGGGCAGCTCGAAGGAGGCGCGGGCGGGACCCAGCTCCAGCCGCCACGCCCGGCCCAGAGACCACAGCTCCAGCTGGGAATGTTCCGGAATGTTCCGGGATGTTCCGGGGTTTTTTTGGGATTTTTTGGGATTTTTTACAGGGTGTTTTGGGGGTTTTTGGGGCTGGTTTGGGGTTTTGGGCAGCTCGAAGGAGGCGCGGGCGGGACCCAGCTCCAGCCGCCATGCCCGGCCCAGACAGGACAGCTCCAGCTGGGAATGTTCCGGAATGTTCCGGGATGTTCCGGGGTTTTTTTGGGATTTTTTGGGATTTTTTACGGGCTGTTTTGGGGGTTTTTGGGGCTGGTTTGGGGTTTTGGGCAGCTCGAAGGAGGCGCGGGCGGGACCCAGCTCCAGCCGCCACGCCCGGCCCAG